TTCTGCAGTGCATAGTAGTTCTAACCAAAACGGGACCGCCAACCTTAGCAAGGGAAACCGGGGACCGCCAACGTTAGGAAAAAAAAAGAGTGCTCCGCCTGTGTGCATGTATGTATGTATGTATGTATGTATGTATGTATGTATGTATGTATGTATGTATGTATGTATGTATGTATGTATGCGGACAGAGCGGTTTTTCTTTTTCCGAAGTGCACGCATGTTCGCAAGCCTATGCCCGCTGTTCACTCCAGAAAGGCGTGCGCTGTTTCTGTGTACCTGGCATCTCCTGTGGAATAGCAGGGAGCCGGAATGCGGAATAATTCGTAAGACTATCAACTTAATATTCCCCATCTATATATGCAGCTGTGCACCTCCCAAAACCCTAGTCTAACCCTATATTGCAGTGCATGTATCCAGTAATCCGGTGAGTGATGAGCAGCAAGGAGGCTTCTAAGCAGAGCCTCCAGTGTACGAAAAGCACCTAGCCCAAACCTTTGCAACCCCCCATCTGCTGGGTGTTCCTTAAGAGTCATTCTCGTTTTAAGTTTGTGATCCGATGGGAACCCAAAATGTTTCATTTCACTGTCGGCCCATAGACAAGGGCTTCTAGACTATTAAATAGTTACCAATACTATTTTGGGGGCTCCTTAAGATAGTTATTAGTATAATGGGCCCCAAAACCCTGTGCTAATTATTAAGGGCCCTAAACTCTAAACCCTTATAGTAGGCCTTATAGAACCCTTAAGACACCCTTGTGAAGGGAGCCCGTAAGGGTTCTAACTCTTAAGGCTCCTATATTAGATCCCTCCTGGGGTGTGGGGATCCGGCCCCCCGTGAACCCTAAACCCTAAACCCTAAACCCTCAGCGAGAGGCTTAGGAAACGACCCAGTCGCAAGACTTCTCTGCGAAGAGAAAAGGTCCGGTCAAAAAAAACCCTAAACCCTAAACCCTAAACCCTAACCCGAGATCCTCGGTTCCAGGTGCTACAGCCACCCCAACGGCAAGCACGGGCTGCTAAAGCACAATGGCATCTTCTGCTTCGTGGCCCGGCGTCATCGGCTCTATTTCTTGGGTTTAGGGTCTAGTTTAGGGTTTAGGGGTTCAGGGGCGCAGATGACAAGTCACCAAGCCCGATATGCTCTTAAGACCTCTTGAGGGTGGCTTCGGTCTGTAGATGTCTCCATGAGCGGATCACAAGAGTGGCACCGCATTGCAAAACTAGACCCATGCATCCCCTCAAGCCCTAAACCGCGCAGGGCTTTCAAGCTGATACATATGATATATATATATATATGTATGTATGTATGTATGTATGTATGTATGTATGTATGTATATATATGTATATATGCGATGAGTCGCTTGAACAGCAAGATAAATTCAGGATTACACCCCCAATGCCCCAAACGCCGCCCCGCAGCCTCCAGGAGCACAAGCCAGAAGCAACAAAAGACACAAAGGTCCCGTCTAGGGCCCAGCAAGAATCATTACTAGCGGTAGAAAGATTTTGCGTAGGACTATTAGTATTCTTGTTGTCGTTTTTTTGTCATCGGCAGGACAGCCCGGAGCATACAACTATGTTCTTCTTGGGAGTGATCTTGCTCACCGGCCTCATCAGCTTCTATGCACCTGATCTGCGAAGTGAGGGATTTATACATTCACCTGTTTTCGTCTAAGATACATCAACCATAAGACCTTGAACGAGATTTACCCGAGTGGCTAAGTGAGGGATTTAAGTTCCATGATTTTTAGGGTTCTACTGCACAAGCAGCGGGTTGAGAGCTGTACAGTTTCGGGATTAACGGCCCTAAACATAGGACCTGGTGTCTTCGGCAGCTTCCTGCCTTAGAGTGGACTGGGACTCCTGATTCCAGGATTTCAGCATCACCACTTCGAGACGTGCGTTTAGCTACATGAATGTTTGCATCTTTACGTCTAGAGCCCGGCACCAGAAGTTGGCGGAGCGGTCTTTATGACTTAAAGTTTCGGGCTCATGCTTTCTGCTTCGAAATAATTGTTTCCAGAGGAGGGTTTGTTCTCGGTCACAGAATTTTCCAAAGAGCCCTTCCGTAGAATCTGCCTCCAGGTTGCCCCACAAGTCCCTAAACCCTAACCCTAAACCCTAAACCCAAACCCTAAACCCTAACCCTAAACCCTCAACCCTAAACCCTAAACCCTAAACCCTAAACCCCTAAAACCCTAAACCCACAAGCTCAAGAACTCCAGACCCTACTTCCATAGGAGCTAAGCGCCCCTGCTGCACTCGAAACCCGAACTCCTTCGGAGGCCCTGGCGGTGTTTGGCACCGTGTGCCCCGGACAGGGTTTATGGCCAGCTTGGGGGTTTAGTTAGGGTTTAGGGTTGATGTAGGGGGCCTCAGTAATTAAAAAAGGGCTTTGGGGCCCATTATACTATAAATATCATGAGGAACCCCCAAAATAATGTTGGTAACTATTTAGGCCCCTACAGTAGGGTTTAGGGGCCTATCCCAAAGATTACAGAAAAACCACGGTTTAAGACTTTTTGACTACAGAAAGCAAGTGGAACGCGTATAGGAAACCTTCTGCGACAATAGAACCCGGATCCCCCCGGAGTTGTTGCCCTGACTTCCTTCAGGGGACCAAGCCGCTCCGGTTTTGCAGTGATACGTATGTGTGTATGCATGCATGCATGCATGTATGTATGCATGCAATATATCTATATATGTATATATGTATATATATATATATACACATGTATGTATCATTTTATTTTGGGTTTATGGGTCCAAAGGCTTTATAGGGACATATGTGCATGTGTATGTGTGCATATGTAGGTATATATACATACCGTGTATATAAATACACATGTATTTATACATATATGTATATATGCATAAAGAAATATATGTGCGCTTGCATGCATACATACATACATACATACATACGTACGTACGTGCGTAGACTACATACATACCTACATACATACATACATACATACATACATACATACATACCTACATACCTACATACCTACATACCTACATACCTACATACCTACATACCTACATACCTACAGACATACATACATACGTACATACCTACATACCTACATACATACATACATACATACATACATACATACATACATACATACATACATACTTCATACATACGTACATAACATATCATATGAACGTATGAATGTACAAACAGGTATGCTA